CTAAAACTATACTAACGACAATCACCGGCAAATTACTGAGCTAAGCTTCTATAAAATCCGAGGCGTTGCTAATTCGCTGCAATTACGTCACACACAAGACAAAAGGAATGTAGCGAGCGTAGTCAATTAGGATGCAAATGTAAGAAAACGACCATTAGGCAAGCCTTACGGACCACGCAGCCCCCGATGTATTGATCATGCGATCCCTCACACGCTTACATACGCCCGTCTCTTTTTAACTTCCCACAACAGATCGCTATAAACATAAACATTTTTACATCAAAATGCCATAACCAACTTATATTATCATAGAAATGTATATCTAAGCTTGATTAAAATATGAACTACTTTAGAATAACCAGAGTCAATGGTACTTATATAGTTTCTTAACGAAGGAAACCCCTTGTTGTGCCAGTAAATTCTGTTCCTATCTTTAAAGGAATAAAGATCTATTTCAGCGATGAGTTAAGAGAAAATGAATCGTATATCAAAATTTCAGAGGTTAATGTCGATGAGAGAACATATTGAGCTGTTTTCAGTTGTTGACAAGTTTAGTTTTGTAGAAGCTAGCAAGCTAGGTATGTTTAATTTTTATACTTTTTTTTAAGATCTATGTAGGTACATTAATCAACAGCAATAACAGAGTTATTATTCTTTTAATACATAGAGATATTGATTTTTTCTATTATGTATGTATATAATTTAGCCTTAACTATTAGGTAAGTTATTCTAATAATTAAGTATAAATGATATATGTATATAATATAAAAAACAATATTTTTTTTGTTCCTTGCCAGATATTATGTAGAAGAAAAGAACTAATAAATTAAAGAGTATTTTAAGTTCTAAAATATAGTGTTATTATTGAAATAATACTCTATTTCCAATGAAACTAAAGTCAAAGTATTTAAACACTTATTTTTTTAATTAATTAATTAATTTATTTCATTAAAATAATTTAAGTCAAAATAGAAAATTATAAAGTCCAGTAGATATTTACATAACGTTCTGAAATTTACGTCTATACCTTGATCTTAAAACAAAAAAGTACTTAATCAAATTAAACAAATAAATATATTAAATATTTTGGGGTTATTGTATTTAATAATTAATAATTACTTTACTAATGTTGGTAGAATTAGTAGGTATAAATAAAAAATCTTTATTTATATAATTGCATATGCATAACGTATATATTTTTTATTAGAGATGTACCGACTAGTGGCTAATTAGTCGGGAAAGCCGACTATCCGACCATGTTTATATTCGTCGACTAGCCGGGCCATTACCTTATTCATGTTAGGTACTATTTATTTATTTATTAAATAATATTCTTAAAATAGGATGATTAAAACGAAATTCCGTCATTATTATTAATTATTTTAATATTTTAGTATCAAGTCCTACAATTATTGGCAAATGGCAAAATAATCTAGGATTACGAAGGAAGTCATAGAAGACTTAGTACTTATATGACAAACATTAACAAAAAAATATTTTTTGATCGCAAGTTTCTACAGCTCTGCACAAAGAACATAATTATGTAATCTCCTGTTTATTATTTATATTTGAATCACAGTTTCAAGCGCTATGTATTCATTATTAAAAGAAATATAAAATGGAGGCAGGAACTGTCTAATCGGCCGATTTGTCGGCCTTTTTCTAACCGACTAGTTGGCTAGTCGGCAAACCGCATAGTAGTCGCATCTCTATTTTTTATCAAAAAAGGTACGCCAATTTTCAAATACTTAAGCAGTCAAAGGATTTTTTTGTTATGGGACCACATAATTAAATTATTATGAAAATTTACAATTGGTGACTTACCATAACATAAAGTATAGGTGTACTTGAATTACCTCCTCCTATTTGCAGTCGGTTATTCAAATCGGTCAGTCAAATCAATTATGATTGAATTTAGCTATTGTAAAATGCTAAGCGGTATTATTTCATTTAAATTTAAAACAGTTTCGTTAAAGTAGAACTTTTATTCTATGCGGTCACATTTCATCCCATCTCACTGGGGGTAATGTAGACACAGAGTTATATAGATACATAATTTGGAAAAATTTAAAATCCTTACCTATACCTAAAAGATTTGAAAACAGTTTATATTTATTTAACTTATTTATGTTGTTTAAACATTTAATATGTGTGATACAAATAAAACTATGTATTATATGGCGTGTATTCACAATGTAAAAAAGGGCCATTTATCTGGTGATGATGTGAGGATGTATGTGTATTGTGTATGGAGGCTACTTGAATACCTAGTTTTTAGGTTTATTTGATTTGTATTTGTATAGCAATACCTGGACGACCGAGCTTTACTCGGGGTTTTTTCGGTAAAGTTATAAAAATTCCGTTTGTTAGAAAAGACACCTAGATAGATAAACTTAAAAAGCAAAACATTATATATTAGATAGCTAAATACAAAATTTCATCCAAATGGAATTGGAATAAATTTATATAAGAAAAGCTTTATAATATTACAATATATACTGTAACACTTCCTTTAAATATATATCAAACGATCAAAGTTAAAGATCAAAAAGCATTAAAATTTGAAAGTAAAGTACCAGAAAGCATTTTAAAACATATTTTTACTATTTCCATACATACTTACGTAATTTTTCATGACATGGAATGACTATTTGCTTAATTTAAGTCCTTTCAGATCTGAATTATACCTATATATTTAATAGGTTAGGCATCAGATTTGCATCCTAACTTCTAGATAAATATTTGTACAACAATATTGATAGACGTTATCCAGTCTTGTGGGTATCGTTATAAGACGTCGCTTCGGCCGGGTTCGTCTCTAGGTTCATTCCCCATACAAACTTTCATCGCCATTTTCACCCCTTTAAGGGATGATTTCCCGGATAAAAAGTATTCTATGTCCTTCCCAGGGTCTCAAATTATCTTCTTACCAAATATTATCTAAATCGGTTCAATAGATCCAGAGATTACCCTGTACAACCTCACAAACTCACAAACTTTACCTCTTCATAATATTAGTATACATAGATTAGTATAGATAACGCAATGTGTGTTTTATTATTTAAAGGTATCTTATGATTTAGGATTATTATTGCAGTTTCAAAACATTTACTGTAATAATATATTACATATACATTATTTTATAATCACTTTAAGGATAACATAACCCAAAAAATAGCTTTATTATATGTACCTAAGTTAAACTTAAAAATATTGGGTACATTTAATTTTTCATATTTAGTCAGTTTTATAAAAAAAGTAAAAAAAAACATACAAAAATAATATTATACGTTCGTGTTATTATAAGTATGTTAACAAAAGGCATAATTTATTTTATCAGCTTATTTGTAGTTGTCTTTTACCTTTTGCATGTAACCTTTATCTTGTACCTACATTTTTCTACCATAAATCCGTGCATAATTCTCTGTAAACTAAAAAAAATCGTCATATCTGTTTCCATTCCTATTCCGTAGAGACTTTTTTGGGATCTTTTATATTTTACGTATGATATCAAATGACTTATCAATTATGGTCTTTTTTATAACATTCCATAAAATAGTAGTTTCCATAAATAAATTTGTATGTCGCAAGAAAATTTTGCTATTCATTAAATTAATAGTAATCTTGTCATGTTTTATTTAATCTAATACATAGTTCCCTTACTAGATAATGAGGAATAGTATATTCTCTTATGCGATTTAAGCACTATTTAGGAAGATGATTGCTAGAAGATGATAATTTGGATGACCGATACAAAAATACACATCGTATATTATATTCAATGAATATATTATGTAGTACGTTTGTCGAAATAGGCAATGTCGGTCAGACATACTTTATATGGGTCATTGTGCTAAATCGGTCGCCTATGAAACCAGTGCCACCATCACCCGTAAAATGGCTTTTGACCCGATTCCTCAATCCACCATTAAAAATCCCTAAAAATCGATCAAGTCGTTATTTTTGTAGTCTCTATCCTGCGGGAACCTTTTTACTTATCCAGAAGAATAAAGTGGTATATACCTACATACTCACCTCTCCTCAATTCCAGAGATTAGCTGCTAACAGATGGACAAATAAGTGAATGGTAGTTTGGGCTTTAATTACCTATTAACAATTAGAGTATATTCCTCATGGACAAACTGACAATTAACTTAAATTCTAAAGGAGTAAAAATGACTATTCACGAGTGCATGTAAAAGTCTATTTGAATATAAGTAGGTACTTAAAATATATTTTGATTTGATTTAAATTTGAGTTCTACATATATAGGATAGCAATTTTGAATTCACTAGAAGACGCTTCTTTATTTATAAACTAGCATTGCCCGCGGCTTCGCCCGCGTTCAGATGACCAAAAACCAAATTCTTAGGTTTTACATATAAGTATACTTTTACATTACAATTTTATGTATATTTTCTCAGAAATGAGATATTTTCCTGCGGTAAAAAGTACCCTATATGTTGACCCGGATAACCAGCTTTCACCATACCAAATTTCATCAAAATGGCTCTAGTGGTTTTTCCGTGATGGGGTAACAGACAGACAAAAATTCAAAAAACAATTGATTCGGCCTCTGTATCGATAATAATGTCTATTGCAATTAGATTTTCCAAAAAATATATAATGTACAGATTCGACTTAGAATTTTATTATATGTATAGATGTAGAGTAAGACTTAACCATGCAAGCAAGTTTTATCTTCTGTTATTTCAGGAACATCTAACGCCATCTACATTATTATTTATGCAACATAAAAAGCTACCAAATTTAAGACTTCTCAATGTCATGCGCGAAGAATTGACGTTGTGTTTTGATTTTACACTTAATGTCATGGTGATAAAGCTCAAAATGAAAAGACATGTTCGCGCTTGCGCCGTAACATTGATTTCTTGTAAGCGTTTGACAGAAGTGCTTTTATCGAGCTAATATCAATGTTGTGTAAATATTAGTTTAATTAAAAACATAAAATACATTCGAGCTTAAGTAATGCAAAAAACATGAAAGTCGAAGGTGAGTGTTCTTTTTTTTATTTTATTTTTTGTAATTATCCAACATAAAAAATGTTGGTACGATAAAGTTGTATATTGATTGCTCATCGATAGAATTATAGACAGTGTTTGAGTTGGTGAATGTTTTACTATGATTGGATATCACTTTTTTCTTTAATTTGTAAATACTCGTACATCTATGATGATTTTATGGTAAGAAAAGATGTAAAGTCCCTATTTATGAAAGTAGTTTTGCAATTTTCAAGACCTAAAGATGATATAAATAAACATTAATTAATACATTTAAAATATCGTTTTTTTTATTAATATCTACGTGACATTACAACACATACAAAGTAAATTATGCTCTATTGGTTTGCCAAAAAATTCTAAACAAAAAAACACTAACATACATTATCATTGATTTATTTTCGGCTTTTATTACTTAAGGCAAAATTTTCTAATATCTAAATAAATGTCAAGTAAATAGACTATTCTATTATATAAATAAATATTTCATTCATACAAATATAATTTTTAACTTATCTACATAATATGTTGGATTTTATCCGAAACACAATTACCACTTACCATATTTAAAGCAAAAATTTGTATACAAAAACAATTGAAAGGACTTAAGTCCTAAGTCGTTACATAAAATTCAAGTTGTAATTCACTCGTAATGTGCGAAATGTAACCAAAGCTCTATAATGCATAAAGGAATCCGTGACCCGCGTGCGGCGTGCATTGTGATCGCATAGGATTAGGGTGTTATCGGTGATAATATGGTGGGCTGGCGACCGACTTTTAGACGATACACATGGATTTTATAATTAAAGATAAATCTTGAATAACAACATTCTATCAAATTCTATGTATAGTATTCAAGTTATTATTTTAAGTGGTCAAATTGATATAAAGTTATAGCTAGATCTACTACAGATCCTATGTAAATCATATATACGTAAAGCAGTTACTATTATCTGGCCAGTTAAAATAAGAAATTAAACGCTAATCTGATAATTTCAAAGATTCCACATTTTTTAAAAACATGTAAACTTGACGTAAAAACTTCATCTGACTGATTTAGTACACAAATTTTATAAATATTATGTATGTAATTTTACTGAGGCAAATAATGAAAGCCTACACGTATGAATTCGAATATATTCTCCATATCCGTGTGTATTACATGGCATCGCTTGTGACGGACACCGTGACATACGGAGCGCACTTGTCACCCAGCGCATAATTTGTCCTCCATTACAGCTTCATTTTATACACTGTTCTATACAATGTATTATACACTCTATAATAAAGTGGGGTCCGATTAAAGACCAGGCTCGTCTTTCGACAGAACAACTGTTCACATCAAGGGGATAAAAATAAATTATTCATTCGATGTATTGAAATTACACAGTATTAGATTTTTTGAAAGCGTACTTTTAAAGCACCTGTTTTGTTTTTTTGATTAAAATTATGATGTGTTGCTTATTTTATTAGTATGTTTATATTTAATATCAAAAAAATAAATAAATTGTGCTACACATTTCGCATTACTATTACTACTTTTATCACAATATTTTGCTATAAATTTTAAATAAATGGAACTATGTAATAAAATATACAATTCCAATGGTCAAAATTTTCCATCAAGCCATTCAATTTTTAAATCTTTATATCTCGTTTGACCAATCGATTACAAACCGGGCGCTGACAAATGTAATAGGCAGGGTACTTGTGAAATGAGGTGTGAATATTGCGTCTCCACGGGATGTATTCTACCCCGCGGACTACGGCCCCAGGGGGAAGCCCCATCTGTCATCGCCCCTACCCTTTATGATCGACAATGCCCCTCAAATTACACAGGTATAGGCGCTGAATGCCTTGTCTCTTTATTTGCCAATTGTGAAATTAATTGACGCGTTTCGTTGATTTACTATTAAGTTTAGTATGAAAACAATACTTGAAAATCCTTTTCATGTAGGTAGGTTGTATGATGATGATAAATATAAAATAGTATACAACAGTTAAAATAAAAATAAATCAAAAAGTATTTTTTTTTGTTTTCAGCATATTTAATATATTTGCTACACGGCATGGTGTCATGCTTGCGACGAGGCCCACATCACCCTCATGGACAAATACCCGTGGATCAAAAACACCATCACTACCAACCTCGATCGGCTGAATCTTTAACTAGTGACAATAAATTATTACATGACACAAAGTGAGATTTATATAACTATTCATTCTTTTCAATTGGACTACCATTGTAATTGTGAATGTTTGCATGTGTATGTATGTTTGCTTGTGATTGATTCGCACTGAAACGGTTGGATGTGTTTAGATGAAATTTTGTACACCTATAGACATTAGACTCCGACCTGGAGTAACACAAAGGCCCCATTAGGCACCTAAGTACGCACCCGAACGAAGCGTCTGGAAATTAAACACTTTTGTCTGCCTGTTTATGAATCCATCATTTAATTATACTTTGAATAGATTTAACATTTTTTACTTTACAATTAAATAGCATAAATTAATAATTGAACTAAGTTTAGTTCTAACTCTTCAAGCAAAACTAAATAAACAAAATGAGCTGCCAGTTCTATGATAGTTTGAATAATATTCCGCACAGATTTGACATAATATTATGTTAACCTCAACTGAAACAACTTTGAATTTTATACATCTATCACATTTTAAAAGAGTATTTATAATTACACTGTAAAATATTACAATTACCTATTTGTAATATTTTAATAAAGGATTACGTTCGATTTATATCCAAAATATTCTTAGGAGCTACAACGTTATAAATTAAATATACTCAGACACGTGCAAAGCTACAGGTGTTAGAGGAACCTTGTATTTTTAAAACTCGATATTTCTGGATTCTACGATATGAGCTTGGATTGCGTCGTAGCTTTTGGTATTTGGAAGACGTAATTAGGTTGCTACATTACCATATGAAATGTCACAATTTTTTTTTTTGTTTTGTACTGATAACGAATTTATGTCTATGGTACTTGCATTCGCAACCACAACTACACTTTTACAAATACTGAACGGATGTCGCTAAATTACTTTTTTATCTATACCCAAAACAAAACAACTGGGAATGTCCATCACATACCGGTAAAGATGGGGGATTGTTCAAAAATCTATATAGTAAACAGTCACTGCATACTTTGATCTCAATAAAAATATTATACTATTAAACTTTAAATTGATTTTTTCTCATAATCTATTCAATAGGTATTACCTGTTTATTGCTTGTACCATTCATATCATACAAGGTGTCCATGAAACAATAACTTTCTGTATTTTCCATCTTCTATAGATTACAACTATTATGTTCAAATGATAATATTTATATTAAGGTATAAATAGTTTAATTTATTATTATTATTCAGAAATTATTTCTGCTTCAAGGCATTTGGAAGAAGACTCCAAAGTACTGACTCCGGAGGCTTTAGCTAAAATGACGCCAGAAGAACTTGAATTCCATTATTTTTCTGCTCATGATTACGACAAAAATTCCAAATTGGATGGATTAGAAATGTTAAAGGTATATTATTTATATTACAAATATATATTTATAAATAATTACAATATTTTGTGATAATATTCTAAGTGAATATTTTTTAATGCAACTTTTAATATAATTTTATTGTATGAGTTCGTTTTTTCCAGGCAGTATATCACACTATTGAACATGCACCTTTAGATCCAGACGAAGATGATCCTATAGAACCCGAAGCAGTACGAATGGATCTCTATATTTGTGTGTTACTTTAATTTTGTTTATTCTAATAAATAACTAGTGTCTCATCTTCGCTTACGTTTCGTAACTTTTTATAGCAGACTACAATATAGCATCGGTTACGTTTAGTACATCGGAAAAGATTTTAACTCTCTGGTCCATAAGTGTATTGTTTTGTTGCTGCGTAAAAAAATCAACAAATAATAAAACCCCTTATTAACATTTATAATATTAGTAAGGAAGTAGGGATTGTTAAGACATGTACAATATTTTTTATACATATATAATATATTTTTATACATTAATCTACCATGTAATTAGATAAAAAATAACTGGTTATAAAATATTTCTTTGTTTTCAGCGTTAGTAGATAGGACCTTGAATTCCGACGATACAGACGGAGATGGATACATATCGTATACGGAGTATCGAGCTGCTCGCCTTAACAGTACGGGAGAGAGGACACCAAGAGTCGTCGCTGGCAATTCGCCTTCATAACTACGAGTATGTATACATATTGTATAACTAGCGACTTACCATCGCTTTGCTCGAATGTGCCCCTAGATCCATAAGGTCATATTATCTTTGTATACTAAACATCCAAATCATTCCAGCTTCAGCGTGATCAAGTAACACACATATAAACTTGCGCATTTATAATATGTAGTGGTCCGATACGTACTCGTATGCCTCACTACGAATATGCTCAGAAGTAGGTATTATAGAAATCTTCTAGAATACATTAATCTTGTAATTAAAGAAAAAATGTTATTATTACTGTAGTATATTGATTAGTAAGTTACTTTTGAATTTTTATGCACGTTATCATATAATAATGAATATGGGAAGGTTTAAGTAGAGTCATTTTTTTTATTTAAAAAAAATGACTTGTTTGTGCATTTAACCTACGGTTCTCTATAGATTTGTAATCTTAATACAAACTAAAACACCTTTAACTTTAATCATTTTATTTTAGATTTTATATAGAATTCCTGAAGAGTATTTAAATTTGTATTTAAAATATATAAAAAATTAATTTCTATTTTTTATATTCATAAATTACACCGTAACATATTACAATAATTTATTGAATGACTAAATACATCTTTACACATAAAAATATCTTAATATGTAATATATTTATTAATTACGGACAGCGATTATTATGATTAAGTTCATATAAAGTGTAAACTCTATATAGCGAAACTTAAAAAACTGAGTACCTACCTATTTCATTACGATACTGATAATTTTCGCTAAATGGAGAGTACAAAAAGAATCTTTTATAATTTTACAATTTTAAGAACACAATTTTAATTTATCTCTTCTCTATTATATATATAGAGTCTATTAAAGATAATTATTACCAATTTCCCAATATGTAATTATTATAACTAAAAAAAGCAAGATCACACGTTTTGGGCAGTGCTTTTAACCACAATCTTATAAAGAGCTTACATTATATTTTTTCAATTCTCACAGATGTGACCACGAGTACTAAGTGCATTGATACCGCGTCTGGCACGGCAGCCCGCGCTCGCCCCACGTAGCGGCCTCCCGGATACCACTCGATATATCTTCATATGGTCCCAAGTCGACGCTGTTCCTGAATGATAATAAATAAATATAATAAATTTTTACTATGTATGTATAAGTTGTTTGCTCTACATTAAACTTCTTACTTGTGTATTTTCTTTACAAGGAAACGAAAGGCTTAAGTATATTAGTTATTTTGCACATTTTTCTTAGGTGTTGTGATTCTTAACGTTACATTTTCTTATTACTAGTCTAAAAAAATATAAAAGATTTTGATAAATATGAATTATATTTAGTGAAAATCAAAATAACTTTTAGACAATATAAAATAGCAGATAACAAAATTACATTTACACAAATAATATTTTATACATTATAGAAAATTTGGAGAATAATTGAAATCCGCCCAAAGCTTATGTAATGTGCAGTTATACAGGTCAATTTTCAGATAGGCAAAAATAAACTATAGATTTAGCTTCAATTACATCCTACAAATTTCATAGACAATTTAAAACAAGGTAATTTTGGTGGGGTTATAATACTAGATGAATAATTTTATAAGAGTATTTTTTTACCCTTGAAATAATTTTGTCCCTTGCAACAAAAGTTCAGCTCCTGAGGCGTAGAGCGCTGCTTGGTGAGGCTTCTGACACGATAACCTGTAGAGACAGCCGTAGTCCTGGCTCTGCTGACCGGCGAGGTAGCTCAAATATAACATGATCTCATCTTCCGTGATGTAAGTTGCGTTCTTGTTATCTTATTAAAAATAAGTGATAAATTGTATAATATCAATGGGAGGAAATCGCTCAATATTACTAAATACAGAAAAATAATTATAGCAAATTAGCACCTAATATTCTATGAAAACCATTTGTGGATAAAATTCCAGACAAAGTAATTAATTCCTCGTTGAACTATTGATCCATCGATGTGTGGAAAATGGATAGGCCGTAAATACACTTTTCATGTATTAATGACTAGCGTCTCACCCTCGCTTCGCTCGGGTTCGTCCCTAGGTTGTTTCCCCATACAAACTTTAATCCCCATTGTCACCTCCATAAGGACTGATTTCAAGAATAAAAATATCCTATGTCCTTTCCAGGGTCTCAAACTATCTTCTTACCTTTCTTAAAATTCCATCTAAATTGGTCCAGGTGTTTTGGAGTTTATTCGTTACAAACATACAGAAATACAAATGTTTCCTCTTTGTAATAGTAGTGTAGATGTAGATTAAAATGAAAGGATGCTTATTAAATTTTAAAATTAAATTTAAGTATGAGTAGCAATAACATATTTGGCTTTTGGACATATGTATGTATATCTATATGCTTTTATATCCATTGAATTATTTCATCAAAGGTAGGCGAAAGCTATTTTCAAATAAATCCTCAATATATATTTAAAAAGTATTCTTTCTGATAGTCTTATGTCGTTGGTCATTTGGGTGTTCACGCGCGGGCAGATAATCCTCTAGTAATAGGATTATGCTTTGGACGATGGACGAGAAAACGCATCACATACTATTGGATTAACTTAGAGTATCCCTACTGGTCATCTATACATAAAAAATGTAAATAAGCTCACACCAAAATAGCCTTTATCACAAATTTAATAAGCTGTAAAATATCCTGTAGATATATTTATAAATAGATTTTAGTTATCAAAGGTGTTTCAACACAGATGCTTTCGTATAAAGTTCTTCCGTTAGTATATTTCCTGGCATTATGCTATTGTACGTAGCTAATTAAGACTGTAAAGGGAACTGTCGTTTTAAAGCTTATTATATGATCAGTAGGCATAGGTAGTGGTTATGAATTGAAATTATTCGTATTTTACAATATTAAATATTTGGGGAGGAATAAAAATGTTGAGATATTGAATTTTGATTTTCGATTTTCGTTATGACAATAGGAGACGAAAGATATTTTAGAATAGTGCATAGATACAAATAAATCTATACATTGTAACTAAGCCGAATCTGTACATTAAATATTTAAAAAAAAATCTTATCGAAATAGACATTATTATCGATATAGAGGCCGAATCTATAGTTTTTAGAATTTTTGTCTGTCCGTCTGTCTGGGAACGCATCACGAAAAAACCAATAGATAGATTTTCATGAAATTTCATACAATGATAGCTAGTTATCCGGGTAAACATATAGGATTCTTTTTACTGCGTGAAAATATCTCATCTCTGAGAAATCTATACTAAACTTTAAAATAATACCAGGTTTATTGAATTTTACCATACCTATTAGGTATATCATATTTTATGTTACCCAGTAATCTCTATTAATAATTTGCATAATTCCACAGATAAATTCTACATTTGAGAAGTTCTAACATTATAAAAACAAATTTTTGGGGCTTAAAATTATGAATATAAATCCGACTTTAATTTTTTTAAATAGTTTCCAATTTTTTTTTTAATTCTTAAGAGAAACGTAGCGGTTTTAAAAATTAAATATGGTAAAATTGTGATATATATACTATGTTATATTACGGAGTACAAACATTAATTTGATGAAGCTATATTGTTATAAATGTAAAATATTACCATCCAAGCTTCTTCCATAATGGTTTCCTTTCCATGCACCAGCTCCAAAGAACCCGGCTGCTAGTATAAGAGCCTTTAGCACGATCAGAATGACTAAATTAGTCAGATTTAGACTGAGCACCTGTGAACATTTATAATAATGATATATATCTAATTTATTGAATTTATATAAGTTATAGAGTTTGATTTTATGTCAAGTAATCTAGTTCGACTAAGTTATTTGTAAACTAATCTATTATTAAAAATAGCAACATACATTTTATTTATTTATATATTTAACTATAACACACTTTGTTTGAATTATTATTAAGCAACAGTTATTATAGAACAAAATATATGGTTGGCATAAACTAAAACATGAAATTTTCTATGAAAACGTTACAATACCACCATGAGTCATATTAAAAGCCGCCTGTCTTATCTCGGAAGCTAGAAGGGAATGCGTGCAATTTGAAATTCTAAGTGCGATACGAACCTGCGACATGCAGTCAAAACCAACCTGGCTACTCCCTGTGGACCTGGCAATAAAGTCCTTAGCCAGACTTGACATAACTTGACCTCCAGTCCCGCTTAGGAAGCTTCCTGCCACATCAAGGAACGAGGATCTAGCATAACTGGACGTATCGTTTAAATCACCGTCATATCTGTCTATCTCTTGATTGTTGAAAGCGACAGGTTGTTTTTCAATTGGAAGGAACGCAGTTGAATCATAGTTTTTCGGGTAAAACTTCTTCGCGTACTGTGGTGATGAATAAGCTCCAGAATGTTCTGAAGAAGTCACAAAGTTGGCTGCGACGAGTATAAGGAGGAACTGAGTTGCATCCATTTTGGGACGCTGTCAAAATACGACTGCAAGGGAGCAGGTAGCGCGCACGTTAGGATTTGAGACGATACAATTGTACTTCGCTATTTTATCTCTTCGTGTCTGCTTTTGTTTGTTGCACGCACAATGACATCCCTTAATGGCACTGCCATTGTTTTCGTTAAGTGGCAAATGTTTTTTGTACAGTTTTTTTTCAAAATATTGACAATATTTTCTTTTCTGTTCTACTGTATGTTGTAGTTAAGTGAATATTAATAATATGACCATATTTGCTACTGCTAGCCCTATTTTAATTAATTAATTATTTTTTAACCTATTAATTTTGGACTTATATGGGCCCTTGATTACTTAGGTAATAAAACTTTTTAAGTTAAAAAAAAATCAACTGCATTATAAATACTTTTACGGTGGAACATAGGGTTGGACACACATGCCATGTATACATACAGGTCAAATACATAACCCTCCTTTCTGGCTTAGTTGCATTCGAGTAAAAAATGGCTATACTAAATTATATAGAGTAAAACGGTTCAATAGTTTTCATCTGTTTTTAAATATTTATGTTGCTTAAAATCCAAGTATTTTATTCTGGTTAAAATTGTGACATTTATGTAACAAATATTTTAATTATGTAATTTAATAGTTATCATAAAAAAAGCGTCGACGGTCACAATGCTAGGAAGGCGTCAATGGCGGAACTAGCGGAACATCTTCACTTGCTGTCGCGTCGTTTAGTTCCGTAACAATTACTATAATATATGTAACTCATTTTAATAAAAATAAAGATTTAAGTATTATGTATTGAAACTTACATAATTTTCTTATTAATTAGTTTGTACCACATTAACTACAAATAGTCCTGTAAAAAGATTATAATGACTAGCGACTCATCCTCGCCTCACCTGGGTTTATCTCTGGGTACGTTTTAACGGTTAGTATAGAATAGATAGACTATATATTAGTATATACATAGGTATGATGAGTTTTATACCCCTTGAGAAATGATTGATTCACCATACAAACCCCTTTTCAAACCGTTAAGGGATGATTTCCGGGATAAAACTATCCTATGTCCTTCACAGGGTCTCAAACAATCTTCATACCAAATCTTCTAAATTGGTTCAGCGGATTTTTATCTTATTCACAAACAAACATGCAAACATACGAAAAAATCATTTTTTTTGTCTTTATAATTGTAGTATAGTTCGAAACTGCCTCGGTGGTGTAGTGGCTAGCATGTACGGCTGCACACCCGGAGGTCCTAGGTTCGAGTCCCGGGTCGGGCCAAATTTAGTTATTGAGTCTTTCTGTATATTAAGCCTCAGTAACAGCCCGGAGTTGGGAAGTTGGAGGTGTTTCACCCCCGTGCCTCGGAGAGCACGTAAAGCCGTCGGTCCTGCGCCTTAACTCTCACCGGTCGTGTCGAGTGGTCGTCCCACCGGAGTATGAGAGTGATAGGAATAGAGAGTGCACTTGTGTCTGCGCGTATACTTGTGCACTATAATATCTCCTGCGCAGTTGGCTAATCTCAATGAGATTGGCCGCCGTAGCCGGAATCGGCTAGGAGAACATCATCATCATCATCTTAGTTCGAAAGGGCTACTGAGAGACATTAAACAAACTCATCAAAATAACAGTACTAAAATTTAGTTTCCATTGAAAAGTTCCACTATTTACCTACTATCATAATTAGATCAAATCAATAGTATTGAATTATAATATTGTTATCTATACATATAATAAAATTGTAAGTAAGCCGAATCTGTATATTAAATATTTTTTTGAAAATCTTATTGAAATAGACATTATTATCGATACAGAGGCCGAATCTATAGTTTTTAGAATTTTTGTCTGTCTGTTACCCATCACAGAAATGCCACTGGAGGGATTTTTAAAGAAAGGTATGGTTATCCGGGTCAACATATAGGATACTTTTTACTGCGGAAGAATATCTCATCTCTGAGAAATCTATACTAAACGTAATCTGAGACGAACTCGAGTGGAGCAAGGGTGAGTAGCTAGTCAATTTATATACATATGCAAATATACATACATATATGTACATGCAAATATTTTAGTCTTAAATTGAGTTCTTAGATTTATTTACGAAGGGTAAAGCTATAATAACAAATAAAATATGTTAAAATATACATATTTTATTTATTATTTATATTTATACATAATATACGACTGTATAGAAAATATTTCAATATCGCTTTCGTTTCTAGAAAGTATGATTTTGATGACAAATTGACGTAAACAGTCAATTTACCTCGAAGTTGAATATCTCATGCGTGAAAGTATCTTGTTTCAAAGAAATCCATATATGTAATCATAAAATATTCGACTAAGTACTAATAATTTGATTTTACTTAAATTATTTCTTACAGTTATTTTACAAGAAAAATTATCAACGAAAAATTACGGATTATATTTATATTTATTGACTTTTTGTCAAAAAACTAGCTATTGACTATTTGTAATAAGGGATAAATAGTATTTGAGGCTTAACAATAATTTTAAGAAGAATATACTTAGTGTACAGAGAAAATGTTCATATAAAATCAGTGCTGGCTGCATTATTGATATATTATTATCACTTAATTTAAAATCAGGCTGTAAAAAACCTGGTTTTGGGCTCTACTTAGGAGAAGATAGTACTAATCTATAAAAAATTGCAACATGTATTACATAGTTTACTTTATATAGGTTACGTACAAAACATAATCGAAATAAGATTGTCTTATAACATTACTTATCATTACTTCACCATAAAAGAAATTATTATTTGTTTGTTATGAACACAATAAACGTTTAGGAATGCTTCGTTTAACAAGTAGTCCGTGTTATATCATCATCTGTAATGCTTGCTCTACTTCCCTAAAAAAATTAAAAAGTGACAATGGTAAGGTTTCTTCATTTGAAGATCAGAAATAATACAGGTTATATTATACGCAACACAGCAATATGCTCACTTTGTCGTTATGAATTTATTTTGAACCGACTTCCAAAAAGCAGGTGGTTCTCAATTCTTCAGAATTTTTATACTAAAGCAATGTTTGAACGTGAATAAAATTCTCCTTAGTAAAATAGATCCTTAGTAAAATAGATAAATTTAATATATTTTTATATAACTAAACAAAGTATATATCATTGGCCTCTATCTGCTTATGTTAATTATTAAATGATTTAATTAATAGTTTTACCAAAGCTATGCCAAAAAGAATAAAAATATAAAAGTATTATATATAATTCATTATACCATGTCGTCTATTTATAATATTACTTGAATTAAATATTTTTTAAATTAATATAATGATCTTTAATAATGCGATTGAATGAAAATCTACTTTTGAACATATCTGAAAACAACTATTGAGCAATTTTCAAGAAAAATAAAACTATTTGCAAATTATAATGCCAAAGTAAATAATAGTAACGACGAGTACAAAAGGATTTTTTAAGTAAACCATTGAAAAGTTGAGCGTCGCTCTATGCAAAAGTAGAGCTCCATGTCTCTATCTAATACAAGAGATGCACCGCTAGAGTTCGCTAGACAATGCAAAGTGGTGACATCTAGTATTACAACATAAAAATATTTAGAAATTAGGTGCTCTACAGTGAAGTTATCAAAATATAGGTGTCGCTTTTTTTAAATTGAGCCCACGTCACCTACGGATGACAACAACAATATTGTATCATCTTTATTGTAGGTATGTTAATGTATTTCTGAGTTCATAAAACTAACGGAATATATTGTTTGAAATACATATAGTAAATAAAAAAAAATGATTGAAATGCTTAGCCATTTCCGAGATAAGTATGTTTTATGGTCTCGAGAGGCTGAAAATCACCCACAACTTAAATGGGCGTTTACATTTAAAAAAAAATCGTTCAAATTTCAGATTGGGCTCATTCTTTTTGTCTTGAACTATACTTTTAAAAAAATAAAAACATTGTATGGTCGTCCTGTAAAAACACCAGGGTATGAAATTATCAAGATAAATATATCTTTTGATAATTATCAAACAGATATAAACTTAGCAATCCTTGTGTAGACATTGGTATTTGACTACTTGCCTGTCATAATTAACGTTAGAATAAATTATACACTTTTAACAATCAAGGTAATCTTTTATTATTATTATTCTTTCATTATTTTGACATATACAAACTATGAAATAAAAACAGAATAAATTTAACCAATTATATAGACACTATTTAATTAAATTAAAGGTCTCTGCCCACTATACCGTCTCACACCATGGACCGGGCTAGGACCATAACAGGACGGTCTCAGGCAAAAAAATATTCTTTGTATTGAAAAGTATGAGACTATGCCCACTAGACCGTTCCATCACCGACCAAGACCTTTCCGTCACTAACCAACTATAATATTTTAGATAACAATTTTTTTAGATTATATATTTTTTTTTAAAGTCGTGAACCTAGTAACGTCGTGATCAACTGATGTTATTCTCTTTCTTTCTCATGTAAAACAATGGCTATCATTGTTAGTTTTCTGTCGGACAAGTTTCTAATAGCCATCGTATAAGTATAGGAAAAATATTCACTCGCTATTCCTGACCTGGCTGCCTCACGCGAAAACACAGGTGAACTACTACGACTAAAAAAACGGGAACTATACGGATATGACACGCGGATGATACGCGAATGATACGTTCTAGTGGGCATAGTAGTACGTGTCGCGTGTTTCCGTTCCTGATACGTTCATAGCACGGTCATGGTATGAGACGCTGTAGTGGGCAGACTCCTTAATGAGTGGAACATCATCCTCATCCTCCTCAACTGCATTAACTCAGTTTGCTGATGGAGTTTTTTGAGCTGATTGAGAGAGTTCAGTTAGCTGATCGACAATTTGAAGAGTTACAAATTAAATATTTTCAATTATATTTATCAAAGATAATTATCAACCCATATTTATCATGATAATTATCAAAGATAATTATCAATGATAATTATCGTTTCGAACCCTGAAAAAC